TAATTAAATCAACAAAGACCGCAATAATCCAGCGCCAGCGCCAGCGCCAACGCCAGCAGCGGCAGCAGCAGTGGCAGCAGGCGGGCAGCAGCAGCAAATATTCAACTGAATGAGAGATAATAAATAATAATACACAAACGGTGCGTGTCATAAGTGTAGGATTACTGTTCCAATATACAATACAAAAACCTCATGTATGACAAATGAGTTTTTGTATTCTATTTGATTAACTTGCTGACTGCATTCGATGACAGTTTCATCTCAATTAGCGATTTAACTCAATCAAGTGGCTTCACTTGATAATTATCCCTCTAATTCAATAATGGAAAACTATCAATAACTGAAGTCAAGTAATAATATATTATATTTATTAATACAAATAAATATTACTAACTAATTGGATTGTTGAGTTTTACATAACTGAATTTTAGCTTAAATTTTAAACTGATTCAATTGAAATATTTAACAAATATTTATTTAATATTGAGCCTAATCAAGTAACAATATTTCCATGTAAATAAATACAAATAAATTACAAAATAAATAAGTGAAAACATAAACTTTCACGTGCACTAAAGTTCTGTCACGCACAGTAAATATTCATATGTCTATTAATATGTACACAAGTACATACATACATACATATTTACATATGTAAAACTGTAGTCAAGTGACGTCAATGGTGGGCGTGTGCCGACCATCCTCCAGTTGCTTCAAGTGGCCCTGGACAGGCATATGGAAGTGGAGCTCCAAGTGGTGCTGAAGAGAGGAAGAGAGCGGGAGACAGAGCGAGGCAGACACTGAGAGAGTGTGGGAGTAGCCTAACGGTGCTCGCACGGAGTGTAAGAGGAAAGGGCAGGTGGTGGTGGAGGGGGCAACGCCATTTGAAATTCGAAATTCGTATGCAAATTTTCATACATTTATTTTCCACACTTTGGGCCAAACAGCAACACCGCCGCCGCCGCCGCTGGCTAAAAATGATAAAGCGACTTCATTTTTTGGTTCGCCGCTGTTCCGTTGCCCCGTTTGGTTTTGTTTTGTATCGTGCAACAGCAAGTAACACCCGCCCCAACAGTCACAGTGGGCATTGGCTGACTCCCAACCACCTCTCCTAGCTGTATCTGTAGCTCCTCCAGCACCAACCCCTCACCTAGTTCCACTCCAACGTAATTATGCAAATTAACTCTTTTTTTCGGGGCCTCTGCTCAGCGGGTCGGCTTCACGATACTCGTATATAATTCTTCTTTATGTAAAATGTCAGTTCAAGTTTAGCCCCACATCGTGAGTGGGTGTGTGTGGTTGTCTCTCTCTCTCTCTCTCTGTGTGTGTGCTGGTTGGGGAGTTGCAATTTGTTGCTTAGGCGGCGGCAACAAATTTTCATCCAATGCTCTTTGTTCGTGCGCACTCAATATGACAGACTTCCTATGCCCCGCAGACCACGGGATGCCCCCACGGATTGTATTGTGGGAGTTACGCATCAGGCACTTAATAACCTCAGCTCTGGCGGTGGCAGAGTTTCGGTTTAGTGGCAAGTTCCGGCACCGAGGGATTCAACGAGTACAGCAAAAGGGCAAAAACCTGACCGAGAATTGTTGAAATTATCTACCAAATGTATGACTGTAGGAACAGACTTCTGATGCATTTTTTAAGTGCTGGATTTGCCACTAAAAATCCGGTAATAGCTGCCATTACGATCCCCATTCCCCATTCCTGTCTCTTACAGAGACTCCGTTTCGATTCCAAGCCAACTCCAAGCTCAATCCCAGTCCAATCCGATTCCCAATGACTTTATTCAGCAGCAGACCATCAGCAGACTTCGATCGATGTTCCTCAATCATAATGATCTCTTCTCTATTTTCTCTCATAAATATTTATACGGAAAATGTAAATGCAGCCGCAGCAACTTGTGGGGCCACCGCCGAAGCGAATTACGTATTCCGAGGTGCAACAAAAAGTGGCCTCTGAGTGGACGCTGAGACGGAGGAAGCTCCTCATTTGGTAAGCCACCAACTAGGAGCTGCACCACCACCACCACCACCGCCGCTGGGTGCAGCACAAATCACAAATCACAGTGGACACAAGGGCACATAGTGGTGGGGAGGGGGCGGAGGGTACTGGCGTTATGATGGCTTCAAACGGCAGACCGAAAGCGCAACGCGACGCATAAATTGTGCGGCGACTTTAATAATTCACCTCCAAATGTGCCAATATGGGCAACTGACAGCGGCCAACGGCAGCAACAGAGTCATACAAATCACAGTTATGATTATTGCCACGATTAAAAACTGTCGCCCGCGTCGCTGTCCCAGTCGTTGTCGTTGTCATCGACGACCACATGCGGAATCGAGAGCGAGTTCGATGCCGGATCGCCGCCGGTGGTGGTCGATGCGCGTGCGGCACTCAATCCCAGACAGTGGGACAGCCACTGCGACATTCAATGAGAACGAGTCTATCTTTCGGTGCGGTGCAGTTTGGTCTCTCTCTCTCTCTCTCTCTCTGTCAAAGTTGCCATAAATATCATCTTTTTCAAAAATCTCCAGCTGAGCTTTGGTGCGGCTGCCGAGCTGCCCGACTGCATTGGCAGTCTGTAGTTTGTGGAGCTTTTTGTGCAGCTACCGCTGCGCCCCAACGGTGATTAATTAAACCGACTGCAGTCTCCAACTCATGATTTATAATGACGAATTTATTTAAGCCTTGACTCTGCGCTCAAAAGCAACGCCACTCGAATGGAATCGATTCCGATTACGAGTATGGCCTCCATTGGCGGCGCCTTTCAATGCACTTTTTTAGCATTGGTTCAATCAGCAAGATGCCATGCCATGGTGGCCCATAGCCAACTGATCGCTCTAGGATGGAGAGAGAATTGACCAAAGACCACTCCAATTGTAGCTATGAGTTGTGCAAACACTTTCAATTCATGGTTTGGAGTTAACAAAGCAAAGTATTTGAATTGTAGTAATATGCAGGATACAGTTTAAGTGTATTGTTTCACATAAAGCTGAAACTTTCTCGGCCTCTCTTTCGTCGATCTGCTCCACGCTCTCGTCTAAATTCGCTCCAGTTTGAATTCGCTCTCCGTCGTTATTGCTTTGCGTTCTGCTCGCGTGCTTGGAATTTGCATTGCTGCGAATTCGCCCTTGCTCTTTTTTGTTGTGCCTAGGGATTGCAATTGTCACAACCCACCCCACATTTACAGACATAAGTATGAATGAGAATAACAAAAGAGAATAAAATTTGTGTGTTTCGTTTATGAAAATCAATTGGAAAGTTGTCTTTATATAAGTTTCACCTCTGATTGAGTCTTAATTGGGAGTGCAACAAACAGAACTAATATTTTTCCATCGTCTCTTCCCGTTTTCACATAACGTTTTTTATAGAGCTCTAGTGTTTTGGGGCTAAACACGAAAGACAATACAAACCTCTGGCCTTGGCTTGGGTCGCTTCTAATGCCATGATCCCACGAACAGAACACAGACCGAACCTCAATCCTCCCCCCTGCCATAATCGACTGCAGCCTGGGACACAATCTTGTGTGGACAGCGCAAACCTGACCCTGGCTCTATGCTCCACATACTCACTCCACTGCACAGCCGCTCCACATGCTCACTCCACATCCACTCCCGTATGCAAAGCATCTCTCAAAGGAGTACAAAACGTTTCTCCCCCGCTACGGATAGCCGCTGCCAGGGCTGTGGCTGCGACTGTGGTTTAGTTAGAGCTAAAATACATTTGTTTATGCTAAAATCGGCCAATTAGTAAGATTGTTATTTCTTTGCCGAGTCCACTGATGCTTCAGCGCTGATACGAGTGGAGCCGGCAGGACCGAGAGACTGGCTGCTCCAGTGTACCGACCAACCAACCGACCGTCTGGCACTGGCATGCCCATTTGTTTGTATTTATGCATCCGAACAATATCAATTGTAATGAATTTTGAATATCGTTAAGCGTGGGGCGAGTCCACACAGCCAATGCCAAGGCCCAAAAAACCCTCGATCCTTCTGGGATCCCTGCAGCACAAAATGTCGCAAAATGGAATGTTTTGTTGTAGATGAGGCGCGATATGAATATGGTTCCCATGGTTCAACAGTTGGTGGAATGTTCCTGTACAGCTGGAGCGCAACCGAAACCCTTTCACAGGAATTCCATGGATCTCTGTCTGTGTCTCTGTCTCTTTTTTTTTTGTGTATATAAATTATAAATAATTATTTGGCCAACAATCAAACAACTGATAGCAGTCCCTGCACTGCAGCCATGGAAATGCTTTCCGCAACAAATGTTGCACTTCCTTGTAGGAAATGTGTGTAGTGCACCCTCCTGGATCCCTCATCATCAACGCCAACGCCAACGTCATGACTGACTCTGAGTCTCTGAGCACAGCTATCCATCCAGCCGACTGGCCCAATCATCTGCTCAGAGTTGAGCCCCGGATCACCGACAATTTTCCAACACGATCGTCGTTTTGTGTGTCATCGTTTGATTTGTCATTATCATCGCGCACATTTCGTGTCCGACTCTGCATTCATCTCCATCTTCGCATTCTCATTCGTTTCTGTTTCTTCCCCCACTCCCTGACGAAATCCGCTCACGGAGCAGTTACAGAAACACGAAAATTACAATGGCAACGATCCGATGCGATCCGTTCGCGAATATCACTAATAACCGACTTGTACTCGACGTCGTCGGGCGTCGTTGTTGTTGTTGTTTCTGTGTGTGGGACCCTCAGCTGACAGGGCCCGAGGATGGAGGGTAGACAGTGGAACGGGCCGTGTAGTTTGCCTGGAGACTCCAGTTGTTATGCAATTTCAAACAGAGTCTACTCAGTGGGGTCTTCAATCCATTGTTAGAGGGACTACAAAATACTCGTAATAATGTTGTCAGACTTTTGGCTTTTTGTGTGTGAGGAAATAGAGCTTATGGAATTATTTTATTTTATTTTTTTTGTTAACTTTTCACTTCCTTTTCCAATTACATAAACATAAAATAATTAACCCGAACTCCTCTGCATCCAATTTTGCAACCAAATTATACTTCCAGCTTTGGGGATCAGCATTGTATATATTTACGATAATTCAGCGAAAATATTCCTGTCAAATGAAATGAGTCTCCTCCAATCTTCTTCTCATGCTAAAAAGCGCAACAGCCAAAAGCAGGCCACTGCTGAGCTCCGGCTGGGCATCGGAGATTGGCAAATGGAAATGAAATGAAAAATGGTCTAAGACAAGTGTCCGACAGGCAGTCGGGCAGGCAGTCCATCAGTGGGGCAGGCAGACACAATGCTGAATCAAAGCTTGATTGTGGGGTGGAGGGGGAGGAGCTGCAAAGAGAATTTTTAATATAGACAAAACTTGACATTTAAATTATGGGAACAAAAGATCACACAGATTTGTGCGAATCCAAGAAGAGAAACTAAAGAGGAAACTGCAAAATAATTTGAGGCACTGCCACCTGCAAGGGTTTTAGGACACCAAACAACAAAAATGAAGTATAAATCGGAGGTAAAAAAACAACAGAGTAGAGGGGAAATAAATAACTTACAGAACTGACTTACTTTTATGAAATGTTTTCTGGCGTTTGTGGAATTGAAAACATAAACCTGAATGGTTCTAGGTTTCATTGAATTTTATATCCCATATATCTCATATTAAATGCTCAAAACCTCAGCTCTTGTTGGCCAGTGTAATGAGCGGAAGATCTGCATCTCGGCCTACACTTAACTCTGCTTCGCCTCTGCCACGGTTGAATGCTCTTTTCGTACCTTTTGCTGTTGCTTTTGGGGCTTCACATAATACACTTGGATCTGGTTATTGTTTAATTGGGAATTGGTCATTTCTCTTCCCCTTCTCCGCTTTCCGTTGCCCATTAATTTTCGATTCCAGGCAACAACATCTCATCGAGCAATAAATATGCTGCTCATAATAATTCTAATTGCTTTTCAAATAAACACAACAAAATGGGAAACAAACTTTCGGAACAATAAACAATTTACCGTACTGGGGGCCCATGGAACATTAGCCGGCCGCAGAAATAATATTTACAGCAATTAGGCGCCCTAACAAAATAATATTAAAGAGATTTATAAACGCCAGCACTGCCCCCGGGACTGAGTGAATTATGAAATTATCGGTGTCTGGGCATTGCAGTGCCTCGGCGAGCAGACCCCATGGGGGGACGTGGAACCAAAAGGTGTAAATGCCCAGAAGCGCCAGTCGAGTGTGAGGAGAGGAGTCGAGCAGTAGCCGTGTAACGCCAATGTGCAGCATCATCTCTCTACCTCCAGACTCCAATCTCGGACTCTACGCGACTCCTCCCCAGCGGGATGCCCAGCGGCTCGCCGCTGCACCGCCCGCTGCGTTAATCGCCCGCTTAAAGATGTTTTAATCGCTTATTACATTCGCTGCGCCTGTCGTCGGTCGTCGTTCAGAGTTCCACCTTCTGCTGGAGATCCGTAGAGGTGGAACTGGAGGTGGAGTTGCAGTCAGTGGGCACCAGCGGCTACTGTTTCTGGGCTCTTTTTTTGGAGTTTGTGTTTTGACAGGGATTATGCTTAATGCTTGTTAAGAATAATTTTGGAATTAGTCATGGAGATGGGTCTTCAATATGATTAGAGTAAGGTAAAGGTTTATCAGCATGTCTGTTAGTTTTCATTTTATGAATGACAGACTTCTCTCGAGAGGTCTATATATCTTCATTTTTCGGCACCTATTCTTAAGAAACTTTACTTAGACTCTCACACTCACTCCTCACACATTTGCCATGCAAAATTTAATTTTATTCTTCTGCCAAATCAAATCCAAATCGAGTCAAAACACAGCCTGTATCCAGTCTCACTTTGGGCCAACAAATTGCAGTTAAATCTGTGAGTTTCCATGCTGCATCTGCATCCGGTTTGGGTTTATTCGCGCGTGGGTCGAGCCCTGGGTCCACCATCGAATAACGACCATCGGCGACGACCATCGAGTTGAATGCAAAGTTGTACATTTGTTTGTTGCATGAATTATGATCATATTCCGGCGACAAATTCGCATCTGCCCTGCCAGCAGTGTGTCCCTCTCTCTGGCTCTGGCTGGACCACTAAATGGTCATCAGACCCTGCACTCCCCTCGCACCTCCTCCGTGGCTGGAACTGCCATATTTTTATGCCACTTCTCGCACATGTTTGTCGCGCATGCAAAAGTGTCGAAATATTTATGTTCCGCAGGTTAGAGACACAACTCGTTGTCGCTGTTGTCGTCGTCGTGCATTGAACATTGCTCAAAAACAAACAAAAAATACCCAAAGATGCAGGAGATGGCACAAGGGAGATCGGTGAACGGTGGACTCCTCGTGTTTTATTGAATGAAATGGCGCGCCTGGCGTTGATTCATAAATGTGTGGCCAAGTCCAGCCCAGACTTGGGGCCTGGTCTTGAATCTCGCTGACTCGTTTTGGAGAGTCTGCAGCGGCATATGCAAATGTGGAGTGGAGTCGAGTCGACCTACGCATGGGCACTTTGAATAAAATAAGATTTGTGGCCTGGGCGCAACAGCGAGGTGCAAATGATTGCCGCAAAATAGCACACAGCCTCCAGGGTTCTGGGTTCCAGCTTCAGGGTCCAGCTCCAGTCCGGTGGCTATCAGATTTCACATGTAAAATTTATGCTGCGCCTGAGAATTACAAATCAATGAGATGCGCTCCGTTTTGCATTCGCCAGGAGCCTCGCAGACGGGGGGGACTCATAGAAAGATGGCCGACTGCTTAAAGTAGACAACATTTAGAGCTAATTTGAATAGGTTTGTGCACAGCAGAGATGCAGGAATATCTCAAATGCAGCTCCAAATATCAATCAGTTGCCCATTGGCTCTGATCTCCCCTTGACTCGTTTTATTGTGATCTTTCCCCGTGATTTTCATCGCTTGATGCAGGCGATTGATTTCTAAATAACTCGTTAATAGAAATTCAGCCACAGATTTGGAAAATTATTTTGGGTTCTTCTTATTTATGTGGCGGGCTCTGGTGGAATGCGCTGCCGTACCATCATCCCAGTGTCCCACTCCATTTGCCAGTCAAATTTCTCTGTGTACGATATATTTTTATTGATTTTTGGTTTTGTCTCATAATGAGCCGCATTGGTGTCTGTGGGTCTGGCCGGGTAGGAGACTGCGAGGCAGAGAGACAAAAGGAAGCCATAAATTAGCTCTATGAATCAAACAGATATCTGATTTCTGGTCACTGATAAAATATTTATATACTCATTTCATTCAAGGCATAACTCTTTCACTCTTCCACCGCTTCTCTGGTGGTTCTTTCGGTTCTCTCTCTCTCTCTCTCTCTCACTCCCTCTCTCTCTCTCCCATTTTAATGGCCAATATTTCGTAACGATTCTCCGGCAGACATTTGGTCTCGGTCCCAGCACAGACCTACAGGAGACACTGGGTCTCAGGGTCCGAGTGGCCCCTAGATGATATCATGTCATAAATATTAGTCTCAGAGCCGGCTTATTAGTTTCGTTTCGTTTCGTTTCGTTTCATTTGGTTTCCCTCATTGATACGAAGTGGAATTATGGAAATCAACGGCTGATCATCGCGAGATAGCATGCAAATCTATCCGTTTGAATTATCCGTATCTATATTAACGGTTTACACATCTCATGGAGTATTTTGGTTGGCATAACTCTGGATGAATAGATTTAGCTGTTTTTTAAGGCATATTTGCTTACAATATTTCTGTTGGCTTTGCCTATTGCAATCCCTAAACAAAACATAAACGCTGCAACGCAAAGCAAGAACGACGGAGAGCGAATTCAGATGAGAGCGAATTCAGGCGAGAGCGAAGAGCAGATCGTCGAAAGAGAGGCGCCGAAAGAGAGAGTCTCAAGCCAGCCTGCGACGCAAAAGCTTGCGTAAGAGAACAGACGAATTACTTTAAAGCTCACAAAACGATGCCAAAACCTTTCTGGAAACTGCGAACCAACTTTAATGCCAACCAGTATCCATCTATCTAATATCTATCAATTTCAGTTGATGGCTCATGTGTTTGCTGCGAAACGCTTCTCCGGCTAGCAATTTGCGGAAAACCGGCAGCAGCACGGGGCGGCACCCACTGGCAACTGCAATTAGAGGAGAGAGAAGAAAAAAGGCGAGCAACTTGGAAAACATAAGCTATAATCCATTTCTACACATAAATCCAATTAGGATTTGGGCAAAAGACTTGCCACTTCTGGGGGCAGCGATGCCCGAACGCCTGACCCAACGATGATAACGTTTCCAGCTGCCATCCACAGAACCATTCACAGAACCCCCAACCCTGCCACATCCATGCTCACTGTTCTGACATGTGGGGAAAATCAAAGCCAATACTCTCGCTGAAGTAAGACAAAAGTAAAAGTAAATCACTCGACGCGATTTTCGCTAATAACAAAAATGATTTGGCCAAGTGCTCGACAGGGGGAGTCCTGTCCTGTACCGGAATGGGATTCCAGTGAGTCAATACTCCTGGGAGACATTACCGTATGTGTACGTACACGTATGTGATGCCACATGGCGATAATATACCCTCCCACTCTGCCTCCTGGATAGCTCCTGTTGCGGCATTTCGGCTTGGCCTCTAATGAACTCAATCAAAAATCGATTTGTAGAACTGGATAAGTTCTCGGCCCATCGGGGGTTGGAATGGGTATGAGCTGGTATAGATTGCACTGATATACATACATCAAATGGAATTTATGAGATAAATTGGCCAACAGATTGACCCCGTGGCAGCGGCAGAACTCAAACTCAAGCCCGAACCACGCTTATGAAAGGGAATTATTAATATCCCCATAAGCTGAAAGTTTTTATGTTGCACTCGATCTCCGGATACCCTGAAGGAACATGTCAACTGTCAGCGTTCGATGCAGGGCCATTAAGTAAGAGAAATCCCATATAAGTGTCTTCCTGTCCGAGAGCGGAGATGGGGGACGGGGTAACGGGCTCTTGGAAAAATATTGTCATCATAAAGCGAGGCAAAGAAGCCGTTAAATATTATTAAGGAGACCATTTAAATTCATTAATGAGCCAAACTCTCGATCTGCGGACTCTACCAAACGAGCTGGGATTTACATACTGGGAAAGAGTTGAGGCAGAGGTTCCTACCTGAGTCCCCAGTCGAGGGTTCCCAGTCACGAAAATGAAAGACGAGCGGACCCAGAGTCTGTCTGCCACAGACCCCATCCCATGCCATTCCAAGTTCGTTTGTCCGATGCGGCACATCCTCGTTAAAACAAATGAGAGATGCGACAAAATACAAAAAAGACGAAATTAAATTAAGCAAATGAAAGCCCACGTTGACAATTTTCAT